CCACCAAGCAGTTAAGCCACAACCAAGTATCCCATGTGTCTTGGCCATCCTACTTTTTGTCTCTGGAATTCACAGTATTAAGATGTCTTGATTATAAGCTGGGAAACAAATCCAATTTTCCTGAACCACAATTGGCACAATTAGTTCACAACTGAAAGAGGCTTGTCATTATAGAAAGTTTGAGACAAAGAAAAATATTGCCGGCACCGCAGCTCACTAGGCTAATCCTCTGCTGGCGGCACCGGCACCCTGGGTTTTAGTCCTGGTTGGGGCACTGGTTCTGTCCCGGTTGCTCCTCTTCCAGGCCAGCTCTCTGCTGTGGCCCAGGAACGCAGTGGAGGATGGCCCAAGTGCTTGGGCCCTGCACCTGCATGGGAGACCAAGAGGAAGCACCTGGCTTCTGGCTTTGGATCGGCGCAGCATGCCAGCCATAGTGGCCATTTGAAGGGTGAACCAATGGAAGGAAAACCTTTCTCTCTCTCTCTCTCTCTCTCTCTCTCTCTCTCTCTCTCTCTCTCACTGTCTAACTCTGCCTGGCAAAACAAAACAAAAAACAAAGAAAAATATTGAGGGGCCAGCGCTGTGGTGTAGCAGGTTAGGCCTTCACCTACAGTGCCAGCACCCCATATGGGCACAAATTCTAGTCCCAGCTGCTCCACGGTTGATCCAGCTCCCTGCTGGTGCGCCTAGGAAAGCAGTGGAGGACGGCCCAAGTGCTTGGGCCCTGACACCCACGTGGGAGAACCAGAAGAAGCTCCTGGCTCCTGGTTTCAGACCAGCTCAGCTCCAGCTGTTGCAGCCATTTGGGGAGTGAACCAGCAAATGAAAGATCTCTCTCTCTCTCTCTCTCTCTGCCTCTCCCTTTGTCTGTAGCTCTGCCTTTCAAATAAAATAAAAAGAAAAGAAAAAAGAGGAAAATATTTAATCACGTAATGCATCTCTTTTATTGAAGAAGTGTGATGGGGACTGGCATTGTGGCGAAGTGGGATAAGCAGCATCCTGCGTCGGAGCGCAGAGTTGAGTTCTGGATGCTCTGCTTCCAATGCAGCTCTCAGGTAATGTGCCTGAGAGGGCAGGAGAGGAAGGGCAGAGTGCTTGGAGCCCTGCCACCCATGTGGGAGACCCAGATGAAGCTTCTGGCTCCTGGCTTCAGCTTGGCACAGCCCTGGATGTTGTGGCCATTTAGGGAAGTAAACCAGTGCATAGCAGGCATCTCTCTCTCGCTCGCTCTCTCTTTGACTTTCAAATAAATAAATAAATCTAAAGACAAAACATTCCCCAATACTGAAATCTCTCCCTACTCATGGTTGCTTTAATTCCCACTCTGCACCTACCTTAGCTCTTTTTCTGTTGTTCCTCAATATTGTTATAACAGCTTTAGTGAGATAGAATTCACACAGCAGACAATTCATTCATTTAAATGATACAATTCAGGGCTGGCTTTGTGGCATAGCAGATATTAAGCCACTGCCTGCTGCGACAGCATCTGATATGGATGCTGGTTGGAGTCCCAGCTGCTCCACTGCTGATCCAGCTCCCTGCTAATGAGCCTGGGAAAGTAGCAGAGGATGGCCCAAGTGCTTGGGTTTCTGCACCCACATGGGAAGCCTGGAAGAAGCTCCTGGCCATTTGGGGAGTTAACCAGCAGATGGAAGATCCCCCCCCATTCCCTCTCCCTCTCTCTTTCTCTCTCTCCAATTCTTTCAAATAAAATAAATATTTCTTTAAAGAAATGGTACAACTCCATATTCACAGAACTGTGCAACCATCCCCACAACCAATTTTAGAACATTTAAATCATCCAAAAATAAACCTGTGTCCAGTAGCCATTACTCAATTTTCCCCCAGCTCCCTCACCCCCAGGCAACAACACTACTCTACTTTCTTTCTCTATGGATTTGGGTATTCTGGACATTCCATATAAATGAAGTCATACAATATGTGATTATTTGTGTCTGGTTCTTTCACTTAGCATGTTTTACAGGATCATCCACCGTGTAGCATGTACCAGTAATTCACTCATTTTTGCCTGAGTAATATTCTGTTGTATGGATAGACCACATTTTGTTTATCCATTCATCAGATAGTGAACATCTGGGTTTCCACTTTTTGGCTACTATGAATAACGCTGCTATGAACACTATTTTCATCTTATTTGAAAGGCTGAGAGAGAGAAGTAGACACACAGACAACTTCCATCAGCTGGTTCACACCCCAGATGCCCACAGGAGCTGTGGCTAGGCCAAGCTGAAGACAGGAACTTGGAATTCCATGTGGGTGACAGGGATCCTGGTACCTTGGCCATCACCTGCTGCCTCCCACGTGTGCATTAATAAGATGTGGGAAGCAGAACAGGTGCGACATGAACTAGGTACTCTGGTATGGGATTCACGTATCTCAAGTGGTAACTTAACCTTGAACCACACTCCCACACTAAAACATTACCTATGAGTGGGATTGCTGGGTTATAGGCTAGCTCCGTATTCAATATCTTGAATCACCAGACTTTCCTAAAGCAGCTGCACCATTTTACATTCCCACCACTAATGAGGATTCCAAATTCTCCACATTTTCACCAACATTTATGTCTTTTTTATTTTAGACATACTAATAGCTGTTTTTTTTTTTTTTTTGACAGGCAGAGTGGACAGTGAGAGAGAGAGACAGAGAGAAAGGTCATCCTTTTGCCGTTGGTTCACCCTCCAATGGCCACCATGGCCAGCGCACTGCGCTGATCCGATGGCAGGAGCCAGGTGCTTCTCCTGGTCTCCCATGGGGTGCAGGGCCCAAACACTTGGGCCATCCTCCACTGCATTCCCGGACCACAGCAGAGAGCTGGCCTGGAAGAGGGGCAACCGGGACAGAATCCGGCGCCCCGACCGGGACTAGAACCCGGTGTGCCGGCGCCGCAAGGTAGAGGATTAGCCTAGTGAGCCGCGGCCCCGACCCCTAATAGCTGTTAATAGTATCTGGTTTTGATTTGTATTTCCCTAATGGCCAGTGATGTTGAGCATCTTTTCATGTGCTTATTCATTAACTTTTTTTTTTTTTTGAGAGGTAGAGTTACAGAGGGAGCAGAGGGAGAAAGGGAGTGACAGAGAGAGAGGTCTTCCATCTGCTGGTTCACTTCCCAAATGGCTGCAACAGCCAGAGCTGAGCTGATCCAAAGCCAGGAGCCAGGAGCCTCTTCCAGGTCGTGGTCCCCTGCAAAGGTATAACAAGACCTGCCTCCTGCACCTGTTCTCTCTCTTTCTCTCTACCCCCTCCCTTCCTTCTTCGCCCCCTCCCCGTCAATAAACCCTTTCCCTTATTCCGGTGTTTGGTGTGTTTTGTGGTGGTCTGACACTACTAAACCAGAGTGCCAGCCCTTATTTATTAACTCTTGATGAAACAGAACCATAGTTTTGTAACCTGAGCCAAGTTTGATGAGTCTCTTTAAACCTACATCATGAGAATACCTTTTCTTCTAGAGTGGCATTTTGTATAGCTCTTAAAGGCACCACTTGGGACACCTTGGGCTGGAGACTCCACTTCAATTCCAGCTTCTTGGTAATTCACACACATCTTGAGAGGCAGTAGGAGGTGACTCAAGTATTTGGGTCCCTGCCACCCATGTGGATTGGGTTCCTAGCTCTTGGCTTCAGCCTGGTCTGGCTCTGGCTGTTGGGGACATTTGCTGAGTGAACCAGTGTATGGGAGCTCTCGGTTATGTTTCTCTGCCTTTCAAATAAAAAAAATATATATACAAAAATATTAAAATACTTCCCCTTCCAGTAAACTCAGCTGTTTCCCTGACAGGTGAAGTAAGAGATTTTTGTGGATTTTTCCAAAGAAGAAAATTGAGGACTATCCTGGGTGAGAAATTACATTATCTGTGAATTGTCTGAAGCAAGGAAAACAATCATAAGCCGGCGTATTATTTCTGATTAAGAGAATGAATGGCCCAGTTTGGTGTGTGGTTTGTTCTAACACAGTATGTTCAAGAAGTCTATTAAAGAGGCCGGCGCTGTGGTGTAACGGGTAAAGCTGCCGACTGCAATGCTGGCATCCCACATGTGCGCTGGTTCAAGACCTGGCTGCTCCACTTCCAATCCAACTCTCTGCTATGGCCTGGAAAAGCAATGGAAGATAGCCCAGGTCCTTGGGCCCCTGCACCCTCGTGGGAGACCCGGAAGTGGCTCCTGGCTCCTGATCGGCGCAGCTCCAGCCATTGCAGCCAATGGGGGAGTGAATCAGTGGATGAAAGACCTCTCTCTCTCTCTCTGCCTCTCCTCTCTCTGTGTAACTCTGACTTACAAATGAATAAATAAATCTTTTTTTTCTTTTCTTGAATAAATAAATCTTTTAAAAAATAATAAAGAGGTCCTTAAGAAGAGCGGCAAATTGACATCTTCACGTCTATTTAAATTTCTACACCCTGGTTGAAAGAGGTGAACGATGTGTCCCAAAGCCAGAGTGTCATCCAGTCTGGCTGAAGAACTTGGTATTTAAATTTGCCTTCATTTCTCTGCTCCAAAAATGTTCATTCCGAGGAATCACGCGAATTCTTTTTATTGAGCCAGGGTTCTGATTATTTTCCTGGCGCTTTAATAGGGCCGTCAGGATTGGCGAGCCGCTGGTTCTCCAAGTGTTTTCGATAAACCCTGTTTTCCAGGCGTCGCGTTCTAGCGCGGGCAGCTGCCGCTCACCACACGAACGCTTCAGGAGAAACCCGAGGCCCTGCTCTGACGGTTACGACCTTCCAGCCACCCGGCGCTCTTGCCGACAGATCTCTGAGGCGGCAGCCGGTTCGGGACACGCGGACTCCTCCATTTCCGCCACCCGGCCCACCACGCCGCTCAGGGCAGCGCCTCCCGCCACACCCAGCCGCTCCCCTTCCTCCTCCCGGCGGAACGGAGCGCTCGCCCGGCCACCCCGCGGCGCCGGAGGCCCCGCCCCATTCCCGGCCCCTCATTGGCTCTGGAGACCGGCCCCCGAGCGCCGGCTCCGGATTGGCTTACCCGGCCGCCGCTCGGCCGTCTTCCCGGGGCGCGCGGCGAGCGTGGCCACGCCCCTTACGTGCGGACGCTCGGTCGCCTCAGGAGGCTCTGTAGTCGCCGCCCAGAAGCCAGGAGGGCCGGCGGCTGGGCGAGGGGCTGCTATGGTGCTGAGTTCCCCGGCAGAGCCGACCGAGTCGGGGCGGTCGCGGCCATGAAGGTGAGAGGCCGGGGAGGCCGGGCAGACCCTTGTCGCCTGTTCTACGTGGCCAGGGCGCCCGGAGCGCCTCCTTTCTTGACGCCCCAGCGGTTAGCCGGCCGGCACCTCAGAGACCTCCGCCGGAGGGGGCCGCTGACCGGCACGGGGAGGAGAACCCGGGCTCCCGGCGCCTTTCAGGCTGCCGGGGCTGCTCCGGCCAGCGGGCCCTAGGAGCGAGGAGAGGCCGGCGGCCCCCGCGCCTTCGCCTGGTGGGCCCCTCTCCGGCCCGGCCCGGCCCTGTGCGCTTCCTCCGGGGCCCGCTGGTGCCAAGGCCTGGGCTCCGGCGTGCCTCTGCCCACGCCGTGCCCTCTCCCTCCCGGAGTCCTTGAACTAACCCGAACGTCGGGAGCGTCACGGGACCCGAGGGGAAGGAGCGACGCGGGGGAGGCAGGGGCCGGGCCAACAGGTGAGAAGCGGCGCGGGGCGGGGGTCGCACCCGGCTGGTGGTCTCTGTGGGCTTCGCGCTGGGGCCGGGACCTAGGCAGGGCGCCCGCGAACTGTGTGCGCGTCGGCCGGCGCTCGGCACGCCGCGAGCAAGTGCGGCAGCTTGCGTCCCCCAAGGTGGGAGTGAGAGCGTGGGAGCCCCGCTGGTGAGAAGTTGAGAAGGGGGGGCCGGATCCTGACCTACTTTGGGGAGACGGTTCCCTCGACTGGATGGCTGCGTTCTGCAGAGCTCTGCGCACAGCAGCGGGTGGAGGTATTGATTCCTTTGCTGAAGTTAGAGCGGACTGGGCTGAGTCAGGAGGCGATGATACTCTCTCACAGGTAGACGGTTTCGCTACTCGAAGGGAAGAGGTGGCTTGGTGTGGGTAAGGAAAATAACAGAGCGAGCTGCCGGACTAACAGTGCCTTCACAAGGCGTTAAGGACTTACTGTGGAAGACTGAAAGGGAGCGTCCAGTGGCTAGGGAAATTCAGCAGACAGTTAGCTGAACATTTCTTATGTCTTAGCCAAGAGGAAGAGCGGGTGAGGAGAACTAATTCAGAATACGGCCCCACACTTTAGGAAGGAGAAGAGACATTTGCAGGTGATGGATCCCCAAAGTGCAAAACCCACAAGAACTAGAAAGGATCCTTCTGGCTGCAGGAAGCAAGCTGGATTTTTGGAATAAGTAGCTTTTGAGCTGGGCCTTGAAGTGCTAAAATATTGTAAGAACTTGTTTTTTTAACTTTCCAATTGGCTGTTCCGAAGGTAGTGAATTACCTCAATTGATTGTTCACAGTCAGTTACAGACCGAACTCCTGTTCTACTCTTTAACTTTCCAATTTAGTTTTAAGATTTTACGTCAGTTTAGAATGCCTACTAAAATGTCTGGAAGTAGCTTTGTTTTTATCTTTTTTTTAAAGACTTACTTATTTGAAAGAATTACAGAGAAGGAGAGGCAGAAGCAGAGATCTTCCTTCTGGTTCACTCCCCAAATGGCCGCAACAGCCACTGTTGGGCCAGCCAAATCCAGGAGTTTCTTCTGGGTCTTCCATGTGGGTGCAGGAGTCCAAGGCCTTTGGCCATCTGCTGCTTTCCCAGGCGCATTAGCAGGGAGCTAGATTGGAAGTGTACTTGAACTGGCACCCGTATGGGATGCCAACACTGCAGGTGGACTCTTAATCTTCTACAGCACAGTGTTGCTGCCCCGCCCTTCTAGAAGATTTATTTAGTAGCTTCACTTTCTAAAGCCATCAATTTGATATGGTAAGATACAAAAACAAAGCAGAGGTCTTATATACCTGTTCACAAATATCTCAAAGTATGCCAGTACCTTTTTTTTTTTTTTTTTATAATTTTTTTGACAGGCAGAGTTAGAGAGAAAGGTCTTCCTTCTGTTGGTTCACCCCCCAAATGGCTGCTACAGCCGGCGCGCTGCACCGATCCGAAGCCAGGTGCTTCCTCCTGGTCTCCCATGAGGGTGCAGGGCCCAAGGACCTGGGCCATCCTCCACTGCCTTCCCGGGCCACAGCAGAGAGCTGGACTGGAAGAGGAGCAACCGGGACTAGAACCCGGGGTACTGGCGCCGCAGGCAGATCATTAGCCTAGTGAGCTGCGGCGCCGGCCGCCAGTATCTTTATTAGCATTAAATTTGTGGCCGCTCAAGAAGCTGGATGTGGAGGAAGAGAATTAGGGACAGATCCAGTGTTAATTTTTAAGTGCTTTAAATTCAGAAGTGTCTTTTGGATGTAAGTGGAAGATACTGCTTTCTAAGTTTTAAAAGCAAAGTTGAAAATTAGAAAAGGTACTGTATTTACTGAAGCAAACTGTAGACCCAAATAGTCATTAAGCTGTGCTAGATGACTCGTCATGAATGCTGCTTTCATTTTATGTTTCTGTGAAACTTGAGCTACAACATTCAGTATTTGGGCTTCTTTCTTTATTTAACTTTATGTTGATTTATACTGAAATTGTTAAATTGTGGCTGTACTTATCTGGAGGTTACTAGGCAGAGTCAGTGATTGTAGAAGTCATGGAAATCTAACTCTGAATGATCCTGTAAGTAGTACTTCTATCAGTGGAATTAAAATTTAAAAGCTAAGCAAATAGATAAGTACATCCTCACTTAAACCTAGGAGCAGCTGATTTTAATTTATGTGTGGAATGGATATTTTCTCCTTTAATTTTATTGTTTAGTGACTGATGTTTTGAAATAGGTTTGCCTATCAAATTCATGTAACTATTTATCATTGGAGCTAATTAACTCTCTATGAAGGATTGATTTAAAAAAAATCCAAATTGTCCTGTGTTAATTTGATTTAACCCTTCTTCCTGTTCTTCATATTTGTATTGATCCTGTTTATAATTGTGCTAACCACATTCATCTTTTCATGCTCAAAATGAAACAGCAAGGAGATAGTAATTTACTAAATGTAATTTACCTATCTTTTTTTTCCTATGAAAGGTTGGGCAGTGGTGGTAAGGGTCAAGTACATTATTTAAAAAAACCTCAACATAGGGCCGGCGCCGTGGCTCAATAGGCTAATCCTCCACCTTGCGGCGCCGGCACACCGGGTTCTAGTCCCGGTTGGGGCGCCGGATTCTGTCCCGGTTGCCCCTCTTCCAGGCCAGCTCTCTGCTATGGCCAGGGAGTGCAGTGGAGGATGGCCCAGGTGCTTGGGCCCTGCACCCCATGGGAGACCAGGAAAAGCACCTGGCTCCTGGCTCCTGCCAGGATCAGCGCGGTGCGCCGGCTGCAGCGGCGGCCATTGGAGGGTGAACCAACGGCAAAGGAAGACCTTTCTCTCTCTGTCTCTCTCTCACTGTCCACTCTGCCTGTGTGTGCAGAAAAAAAAAAAAAAAAAAAAAAAAAAAAATTCTCCTCAACATAAAGAAAGTGATATTTATGATCTACAGCACACATTGCTATTAAAAATCTTTCGATTTGGCAAAGATCTTGCCTAAAAATACTACATTTTAAGGTCCACATCTGTTTTTGCAGCCTAGTTAATGTCCATATATTAAAGAGAGAAAGAATTTAGGATGTAATTTCTTCTTTCGTATATATGATTGGAGATTCAGTTGTCAGGAAAGCAGAATTCTCTTCAAATTTATGTCAATTGAAGCAGCAGTTTTTTTCTTTTTTTTTTGATAGGCAGAGTGGATAGTGAGAGAAAGAGACAGAAAGGTCTTCCTTTTGCCATTGGTTCACCCTCCAATGGCTGCCACGGCTGGCGCGCTGCAGCCCGCACACCGCGCTGATCCAATGCCAGGAGCCAGGTACTTATCCTGGTCTCCCATGGGGTGCAGGGCCCAAGTACTTGAGCCATCCTCCACTGCACTCCCTGGCCATAGCAGAGAGCTGGCCTGGAAGAGGGGCAACCGGGACAGAATCCGGCGCCACAGGCGGAGGACTAGCCCAGTGAGCCATGGTGCTGGCCGAGGCAGCAGTTTCAATAAGTTTTTCTGCTTCAGAGGATCATGTTTCTTAAATGGCTCTAAATAGATTGAAGACTTTGCTTATTATCTCATCTGTTTTTTCTGCTTTGCTTTGAATTCTGTAGAAAAGTTTAAACTACGAAACTGATTTTTAAAATCACTGGCACTAAGCTTTGAGACATCTTTTTCCTATTAAACACAGGGACCTTGACTTTTGGCAGTTCAAGGTTATCTGGAGTTTAAACAAAACCTGTAGTAGGAGAATTCTCTGAGGGAATTCTTTGGAAGAACTGAATCCTTGTTTGATCCTAGTAGCTTAAAACCCCTGAGAAAATTAACATTTTTGAATTTGAAACTTCCAAGGTTCATCTTTAATGTGTGAAATATATTACTGTATTTCATTTAGAGTTACAGTAAGTAAAGTAGACCTGTAGGATTATTATTACTGCTGTTTACCTATAATCAAATGACTTAGAAAAAATTTTGGTATTTAGTTTTCTTTTTTTTCCAGATTTATTTATTTATTTGAAAGAGTTACACAGAGAGAGAAGGAGAGGCAGAGAGGTCTTCCATCTGCTGGTTCACTCCCAAATGTACTGCAATGGCAGATGCTGCCCTGATCCAAAGCCAGGAGCCAGAAACTTTCTTCTGGGTCTCCCGCATGGGTACAGGGACCCAAAGACTTGGGCCATCTTCCACTACTTTCCCAGGCCGTAGCAGAGAGCTGGATTAGAAGTGGAACAGCCGGGACTAGAACCAGCGCCCATATGGGATGCTGGCACTGCAGGTGGCAACTTTACCCACTATGCCACAGCGCTGACCCCTTCTGTTGTTTTTCAGATTCCACACCTTCCCCTTTCCCCCCTTTATGGCTGTCATTTGATTGTCATGGAAACCACTCTGGCCTTTCTTCTTTTTCTTTCTTTCTTTTTTTAAAGATTTTATTTTATTTTTTTAAAGATTACTTATTTACTTATTTATTTGAGAGGTAGAGCTACAGACATTGAGAGGGAGAGACAGAGAGAAAGGTCTTCTTCTGTTGG